TGGGAAAAGAGGAAAGAGAACAGAAGAAACACACCGGTCAAACTTCAATTTCCCAAACAGTGATAAAGAAATTCTCGGCCGGTCGCTTCAGCTGGCGTTCTAATGCCTTGGCTTGAAGCGCATGACCCTCTTCCATGATAGACCACATCCCCTGTTCAATGACATACCTCAGGTATGCCCCGGGATGTGGTTTCGTCAAGGGGTCCGAAATCATGGCCCGAGTATCGATCCATCTGATTTTCCCAGATGTTTCGCTCAGGTCTGTCTTGATGACAGACAAATCGATAGCAGTTCTTTTATCACTCACATAAGAAGTAGCACTAGCACACTTGTTAACTGCATCGAACAGGGATTTGGAATCTACGGCCGCCAAAAATGGGATCCTACGTGCAGCAGCTCTCCAGTCACTTGCCGACAGCATGCCGTGGAAGGCCTCGAGGAAGAGAGAAGTCTATGCCAGTGAACAGAGCCGATGCCAGCCTGAAGGGCCTGTCCCTCTGCGGCTAGCGTGTCCACGGTCTTCCTCTTGAGCCGGTAGCTTTTCCAGGAAGCCACTGTTGTCATCGCTGGGCGCTCGGTCTCAGACAGGCTCTTGTGGTGGTAGATGACAATCTGACCGCCCTGACTGGACAAGTTCTGGAGCTGTACAAGACTGCTATGAATTTTGCTCGGCTTTGCCTCCTTGGCATCTTGCTTGAAAAAGATGCTTTGACCTGTCCACGGAAACTCTTGTAGAACACGAATGCCCTGTTGGTCGCTCCACTCATCTTCGATCTGCTCATGGCGGAGGGACTGGTCCGTGGCCGTGTACTTGTCGATGAGCCGCCGGGAGGCAATTTCATGAAGGTCCGGACCTCCAGGAGCTGCTCCTGGATGGAACGTAGTCCTCCGTGCTTGGACATGGTGTCTGATCCAGCGATCTGGAAGCTCTTGCCAATGATCTGCCGGATTGTCTTCAATCCAGGGCGTCTCCTTGGTATTGCCCCAGGCGGCATCGGTGACCACAGAGATTCTCAGATCCTGCCAAGGGATTGGCATGATCTTGATGCCGAGGTGCGAGAACTTTCTCGCCTCTGAGGCAATTCGATTTGCCTCCACCAAATCGGACACCTTCGGCTCCGGAAATGCTTGCTGAAGAAGGGAGACTCGCCCTGCCAGATCGCATCTCGTCTCCTTGGCCAGCCAGGATAAAGCTCCCAAGGAACTTCTCAATTGCTCCACCTCCTGCGCTGTGCAGCGGGAGTATCTTTGCTGTTTCCGTTTCCTGGTCAGAGGAATGTCATGTACCTTCTCCTTCACATAGAAGTCCTGGTTAGCGGTGATGGATCCATCCAGCTCCAGCTTGACATGTTTCCCGGTGAAGCGGCCTTCGCCGGTCTGGTTTTTGCCAAGCTTGTACTCTCTGGCTATCTGGGCCACATTCGCCCAGTGTTTCTCACTTCCACCATGGACCAGATCGTCCGTGGCGATGCCCATGATGCCTTCCAGTCGGGGTCCATCTGGACATTCTCTGTCGTGAAGCATGAAGACACATGGATCTGCCTGGCTAGGGCGGTAACCAAAATCTTCTTGTAGCCTACGAGCAAGATGTTGGTACCATGCGAAGGGACCATCCGTGAGGCCATAACAAGTTTTGAGGAGTTTCAGGATTTGTTCTGGATGTGCTCCAGGGATGCCCTCCTTGGGTTGAAAGCAGTAGAGCTCTCTGTTGATCTCGTCCCCGCTGTGGAACGCTTGAGTGAAGTCCAGGAAACCAGGAACCCAACCCATACTAGCAATCACTTGAAGGACGAAAATGACCGAATCCCGATTGACTTGAGGTGTAGTGAACTCTACATCCAGGGCTGATTCTTCGGAATATCCCTTCATCACGTGCCTTGCCTTGGCTTTGCACGCTTCTCCCGGTTCGTCCTCTAGGAGGACGCCATCTATCCTGGCAGCAGCAGTCTCACACGGTTCGATAGGCTTCTTGGTGAAAACGTAGCGGGACTCCATGATCTTTTCCGGCTTGTTGTTCCGAATGTCACGTGATTCTTTTGGGCTAAGAAGTTGGTAAGCTTTTGTCCGAAGGTTGTTATCGATCTCCTTGCGAATGGCATTCTGTAGCTTAACTGCATCTCGACCCTTGAAATCACTGAATTTGGCTTCTTTCCTGGCTCGTTGCTTCGAGAGAGCTTGTAAGTGCATGTGGTAGATCTCCAAAAGTTGAACCCGAGAACGCTTTTCGGGAGGCCCTGCTTGATCTTCTCCACCTTCCCTCTTAACCCCGGACCCTGAAATCACCTCTCCGACCTCGCCGCGGATCTCGGCGTCCTCGGCAGGCTCGTTGACGGCGCCTGAAGGCAAGGGAGCTTCGGTTGTGGAGTTCGGTTGAGCACGGTGAGGTTGAGGTCCTACTCCGGGTAGTAGTTGGGGTCCAAGTCCAGGAGGATTGTGAGGTTCTACTCCAGGAAGATGTTGAGGTCGTACTTCAGGATGATTGTGAGGTTCTACTACAAGTGGTTCTCCAAGAGGTTCATTAGGACCTGATTGCCGGTTATGAGGATCACCAGGGCGTTCAGAATGGGGATCTCCGGGATGTTGCTTCCTACGAACCCTACGCTCTGGCATCGGAAGCGGAGGTAAATCATGGCTATGACGCTCAGGATCTTCCTTCGGAAGGTCCCCTTCAGGATCATCAAGAGGATCTTGATCGGCAGTGATGTCTATGAAACCTTTCTTGGGAACTTGCTCAAACTCGACCCTGACCCTTGAGATCCCTCGCAACCAACCACTAATTGTGAGATCTTCTTCTGGAGTTGCATGCCGGACACGTTCTGGAGCTGCTTTGACAATGGTGCCATTGAAGGAAATCCACACTGCATTAGGAAGATCAGTCATAAGAACCCGACCGGGACCATGCCAATAGGAATCCCTTGTCTTCTTGTGGGTGCCTGCTCCTCTACGCCAACAGTAGACAGCTTGACCTATTTCAAAGTTCTGGAAACGTCTGGGACCGCCAAGTGCTGCAGCTCTTAGTGCTTGATCACAATCGGCTTCATGAAATGCTACGGCCGCCGCCTTGCGCATCTTCATGGCCCGGACCGCATCCCGGTCACCGATCCGGATCAAGTCAGCGGCCATGTGGTCATTCTCACCTCCGGAAAGAAGCCCCCCAGGTAATCGAGGTGAATACCCTCTTTGAATAGGTGAATAGCCAGCTCTCAACAACAAACGGTTCCTAGTCATGCAAGCAATGTCAACAAGCTCAAGCCACTCTCCCCTGGATTGGCAGCCATAATCCATCATGGACTTGTACAAGATATTTTTGAAGACGCCTCCAGCTCGTTCAGTAAGGCCTCGTTGTGTCGGGGCCTCCACAGATGCTAAGGCTACTTCACTACCGTCTTGTTCGGCTTGCCGACGAAACTCAGCACGAAATTCTGTACCCAGGTCAGTAAGAAGCTTGCGGGGAACTCCGAAAAACCTAATCCACTGTCGATAGGCTTTGCGGATTTCAACCGCACTTTCAGCTGGCATAGGAATGACCAATTGAAAATGCGTCCCCCAATCTATAACGTTTAGGGATGGAACCGTGCGATTGTCGTGGTCCCTGAGGTGTACAACATTAAGGCCTACCCTCTCGTTGATGTGCGTCTCTTCCTTCGGAGGAGCCACCCGACGGGCCGGGTCTGGCAGCCTGAAGGCAGCGCATGTTGAACACTTCAGTTCCTTTGCAATCTTTAGGACTTCCTCATCGACCTTTGATTGGCGAAGAATGCGAAGAAACCTAGAAGTCTCCGGATGACCCAAACCCTCATGCGCTCTTCTGACCATCTGCTCTAGGGTGGCCTGTCTCATGCCCGGAAAATGTCGAAGTTGCCGCTGTTGGCGTTGATCTAGCTTGGCTTGATAGACGCAGACCAGCCTGTCATGGCGTTGCAGTCTCGTTGGGGACGCCAAGCCGCTCCATCGGACCTCATCTTCCAGAAGTCTCCAGCTCCCATTCTCCTTGACACAGGAGCTTCGCCAGGGAAAGTTGAAAGCCGGATGGTCCGGCTCAGGATTCGGAATCTCGCGGGAATTCTCCAGCGAGTTGAGCCAAACCTTGTTGTCCACAAGGCTCCAGCCATCCTTGGCGATCATCTCCTCTGAGATGCCATAGGTCTCAGGAAGAAGATCTCTGATGAGCGCCGGCTCGGCTTCGTTGGGACGATCTTGTCCGCCTGGTTGATCCAAAGCCTCCTCATTGACGAGGATCTCCTGGTGAAGGGATCTCTCCGGGACCGCAAGGTTGACCTCAATCTCGTCCAGCTCGTGCTTGAGAAAGTAGCGCTTGTCCCGTTCTTGGTCCTCTGCCAAGACTTGTTCAGAACGGCACAGGTGAATCTCTGTGGGGGCTTTCCCGACAGACCTGGCATAGGCCTCAAGGATGGCATCCACCAGGCGATTCGGGTACACTTGAGCAGCCGCTGCAGATCGGCGTTTGTCGCCGATAATGGCTTCATGCTCGTGTCGTCCTTGACACCTCCTGGCCAGTCGTTCTGCCAGTCCCTTGTGATTGGTCATGAAACCAGTTGGTTTCTTGTGCAAAGCATGCCTTGCTTCGCAATCCAAACTGACACTGATCTGCAACCACACGGCAGACACCAGGCTTAGCCAGCATGCGGCACACGGAGCGCTCTCGCCATGACCGAGCTGTTTGCGGCTGCTCAAACACGAAACTAATTTGGAGACTATGACATAAATCGCACACCCTCATGGCAAAGTTAAGCAACCTCTTCCCGATGTCCAGGATCTTAAGGTACTTCTTGAGAGCGTGGAGGTTCTTCTGCCGGAATTTCTGGAGGAGATTGTTGAGGCTACTGAAAGCATTACACGGTGGGGATACAATGACCAAACCAGGGCGTTCATGACGAATATAGTCCATAATACTCTGTTGATTTGAAAGCTTGGTGAGGTCATGTCCAAGGACTAGGTCAAAGGCTCTGCCGGGCTTCAGCCGAAATCTCGCGGCTCGTTTGCTGAACCGCTCTGGATTGAATATCTCTGCCACTGTGTCCATCACATGAAGCTCGTGCTGCAAACGTTGCTTTTGCTTCTTGGACATGCCCAAACTGCTGGAAGGAGGCACCTCTTTTTGCCCCGGTGTAGCCAATCCGGATCCCTCCGCAAGGAGGCACTGCTCCATGACAACCCATTGCCGTTCAGCTTCCTTAAGCTGCCCTGGCCGCGCCTCATGTTCTGGAACTTCTGGAACTCCAGGAAGGCGGCGTACTCCTCGGGATCCACCATTGGAGGTTGAGTCGAGCTTGTCGGGGAGCTCGGCATTGGTCCCATTCCCGGGGTCACAGGAGCTGCTCCGGGAGTTTGGTTGCCAGGCCGAACGGGAGTGGTCGTCCCGAGCTTCGGAGTTCTTGGCGGAAGCTGCTCCTCGTCCTTGCGAGGTCGGTGTTCGAGAACCATTCCGCAAGCTCAACACTTCGCGACCACCACAAACTTGTTGCTCCCGGCATGTGAGACCGAGAGGTGCTAGTTGCACTCGAAGCTGGAATCTTCTGGTTCACAGTTGGTGGACTCGGCGTGCTCCTTTGAGATGACCGGCTCGGAGGAGCCGACTGGCTCAGTGCCCGTCCCAGAACAGGGGTCCTGGGGACCTTTGCTCCTGGATCCGTCCATCCATCCTCGCTCGGCTCCAGGTGTCCTGCTGCTCCAACCATTGAAATTAGGCGCAGCGTTTGTCGGTCATCATCCAGTTGGGGCATCGCCGGACTTCCTGCCGAAGTTGCGACCCTCCTTGCGTGTCACCAGTACCACAACCGGCTGGCCGCAGTAGCACCGGTGGATGGGTGCTGTTGCTCCGATCTTCTCTTTGAGAGGTGGCTCCAGTACAATGAAGCTCCCGGCGCTGGTGGTTGAGCGTGGCTGTGGACTGGGACTCCGTGACCAAGGGGAGGCTGCCTCCCATTGGTATGACTTCATGTTCTCGATCTCCCGAACCTCGAGAGTCTGTGACACCAGGCTCGACAGGTGCTTGAGCTCGGCCACGCTGAGTTGCTTGATCATGTCCTGGCAGTTCTTGTACGCTTGACCATCCGGGCCCCTGATCATGAGGTAGTTCATGAAGGCCTGGCGGCCGGCATGGGTGCAGATCACCATGAAGTGAAGCACCATGCGCCTCCACGACTCGAGCCAGGTCCCGGTGTCCTTGGGGTCGTCGGCCCGGGATCGCTTGTTAGCCGGCAACATGATCACTACAGGCGGTGGTCTCAGGCCAAGGATACGGAAAACTTTCTCGGTAGCTGTCAAAGCTTGAGAGGCTCCGAGTCAACAGTACCTCTGGCTGTTCATCCTCAAGCCTGCTCAATGCACCACGCAACATATCCTTAAGATGGGGACTAAAGGCCTGAAGAGGAACCCTAAGTGCTCCGGTGGGACCAATAAGTAGAGGAACTCGATGATTGAATCGCTTGAGGTCCATCCACATGCCTTCCGTGGGGTCCAAATGCAAACTGGCTTGACAGTGAAGCAAAAATGGCAATGACAGCAGAAACGGTGCATCCTGAGTCTCGGGACTTTCGAAGATAGCAGGTCTAAGGATGCTGCCATGTTGACCCAAGGAAGTGGGGACACAGGCGATCTTCTCTGTGGAGGTCACCCCATTAATGGATTTGAACTTGTGGGATTCGGAACGATACACTGCATGCATGTCTTCAGGGAACTCTGCAAGGAACCTGGAAAGTGTCTTGGCCCCAACTGCTGTCCTCTGGCACCCTGTGTCCACGGTGGCACACTGAGCATCATCTATCACGTGCTGATTGAGCTGTGTCATGTAAAGAACCTCATGACAAACACTGGAAGGCACCGCAACGTAATCCCGCTTGGCTGCAAGTCCTGAGTCTGAGTCTACCTGGCTAGGCTTCCTGCTGGGATCACGATTGGCACTCATGACCGCTTCCTTGATGGCCTTGAACTCGTCGAAACCAAGGAAGTTCACCTCGCTGGCGCCGAGCTCCAAGAAGTTGACACTGTGGTTGCCAGAGGAGCTTGACGTAGCAATCGAAGATCCTCCCTTGTTCGGGCACTCACGGTGCCAGTGGCCAACCTGGCCGCACTTGGAGCCCTTTGTGCGACGTTTCAAGGCCTCAATGGAAACTCGGTACGTGCCATTGGGGACCCGATCGCTGAAGTTGCCGCGGCCACGCTGAGCGAAAGGCTGAGCTCGAGCCGCCGAACCAAGCCACGAGCCAGGTTCCTCGCCTTCTTCGCGGTGTTCACGGCCGAAAAGGTGCGCCGCTTCGAGTGCTCTTTGATCATTGTCGCCAGGACCTCCCGCGCTTCGCCCTCATCAAAGACGCCATTCTCGTCGTCGGTCGTCTCGGTCGGCACGCGGTCGTCCAAGTCCTGCACGGCGTTCAGAAGGACCTCGATGTCCTCGTCGTTGTCGAGGTACGGCTCGTCGTGGTCGTTCGGGTCCAGGTCCTCGCCCTCGACGTAGTGGACGGCATCGGAAGGCTTCTTACTGCCATTGGCCTTGTTCTTCAAGTCCAGGTCGGTCTCGTGGATCCGGACCCACTCCTTGACATCTTTCTGTCCCAGACGGCCCTGAGTGTAATTCATCAGGAGTTTTACTTCCTCCGACGAAAGTTGGAGAGCCATCGTCAAAAGGAATCCTAAATATTCCTTCGGCAACTCCACGGAATGCTCATTGAGCTTGCGAACACAATTATCCCACCTGGAGAAAAAGGCTTTGTGGGATTCATTCTTGGCCCTGCGCAGCGTGTAGGTCACGGTGACCAGACTCTGAAGCATTTCTTCGCGTTCATCTTCACCGTAGAGCTCCTTGGTATCCATCATCTTCAGCAGAAGCTGTCCGTTCTGCGGGCTATCCATCCACGTGTCATCCCTGGCCAGGTGCTTCAAGTCATCGAAGGGGGTGGAGCTGAGATTCTTCAAGAGGAGAGGTCCTCTTGCCCTCGGCTTCACCTTGGTGGTCGCCAGCCAAAGACGAGCCCTCACCAGATAATCGCGGAAGCTCGTGGTGCCGTCCCACGAAGGAGGTGGTCCAGCATTGCTTCTGTCATCTGGCTCGTTGCCATCATCAGACTCTTCGGTCCGATTCCTTCTGCCAAGCCGTTGGCGCCGCTGCAGGTGCTGAAGAAACTCCCTGTACTCAGCTTGCGCATCAGGGCTAGCAGTTCCAGGGCTGCCAAGCCGGCCTCCAAGCCACGGGTCGGCGCCCGCCGCACTCCCTTGCTTGATCAAAATCATCATCATCAGGAACTGGGGATTCAGCTGCGGTGGCTGATGCCATGAGCAGTTGCTTTGCGAAGCAGTCAAATCTAAGAGCGGAGTAACCCTTCTACTCACTAGGCCCCTGGATCTTTCCCAGCAGCTCCGCTACCACTGTGTCCACTCAGGACACAGTGGCAGCAACAAAATCAAAGCTCTTAGCTTTTCACTCCACTAAGCGCAGCTTGAGCCACGGATGTGGCGTCGACGGTTTCGAACTTCTGCAAGACCTGACAAGGTCGGCACTGTTTGGGAAAAGAGGAAAGAGAACAGAAAAAACACACTAGGGTTTGGGGTTTGCGGCTTCGTGCTGAGCTGCGGCGGGGTCAGAAGATCAGGACTCTAGACCTGGGAGCTTTTGGCTAAGGATTTGATTTACCCTAAGGGTCCAAGTACCCAACTATTGAGGCTTTAGGTACCCTAGGGCCTTATTATTTGGGAACTTGAAGTTCATGCAGGTGGACAATAGCAAAAGTACAGTATGCCGTGTGCTGCTTGGCGGCTTGCACATATCTCGGGGGTCTTGAAGCATAAAGTGGTTGCGGATGGTTGTGCGTATGTTCGGCTTCACCGCTAGCCCGAGCTGATCTTCTGCATGCTCCCTATGACTAGCGACTAGCGACTCAAAAGGCATCTGACAATGTACAGTTCTCTCTAACTGGGTGGTCCCCTTTCCCTTTTTCTCCAATGATCATTTCAGTGAGTGATATGACCGAACCACACATGAAAATTGGCACTGCTTGGGTGTATCTAAGGGAATCCTGGATCTCACGGATTCTCCTTTGACTTCGGACAGGCACTCCTGTTGAGCAGGGTTTAGGGGTTTTGGGACACAGATATTCCTTTTCATCGGCTCGTCTGTCGCTTGCTGAACGGATTTTCTCTCAAAGATTCTTTGTGTTGCCTCCCCAAGTGAGGGCTATATTCAGTTCGAAACCCAACGGCATCAATCCGTAAGGGTACAAACAAAAGCTTCTTCATTCCTAAACCCTACACCCCAGATCCTAAATCGAAACCCTGTAAACCCTAAAGCCCTTATCGTGAAGAAGAACTCCTCAAGCCTCTTCTTCCAAGCCTCCCCCGTTTTGAAGTTCTAGGGTTTAGGATCTAGGGTTACAAGGGTTTAGGGATTTGGGATTTAGGGTTGAGGAAAAGTTTAGGGTTAAGGATTTAGGGTTAGAAGGGTTTAGGATTTAGGGTTAGCAAGGTTTAGGATCTAGGAGTTAGGGTTTGAAGAGCTTAGGGTGATTTAGGGTTTAGGGTTGCTGCAACAATGTGAGAACCATCTACGAGCCATTTGGACGCCTTCAAACCTGAAAGCCCATCACCCACAAAATCCCCAGCCTAAACCCAAACCAGCACAGACGGGAGCCGTGCTCTGTAGGATTGCGTGCTGAAATGCAGGGATGGTCACCCCATCCCGGAAGATGTCCTTTTTCATTGAGGGTTTAGGGTTTAGGGTTGTAGGATTTAGGGTTTTAGAGTTTAGGGCTCTTTTAATGGAAGGGTTTTGTGCGGCTGCAGGGTCTTGGGCTGGGTGGTTAGGGCTTGCAAGTCGAAACATATAGATTTAAGGGTTTGGAGTTCAACAATGGAGAATCAAATGGAAGGGAAGATGGAAAATGAAATGGGAACTGGAACTATGTAGGGGTTCGGGGGGTTGATATCAAACGTCTTCGCGACCCTGATAGACGAGAATGACATACTTCCCGGGGTGTAAGGTACGTAGAGTTGTGTAGGACATGCGTCTCAACCGTTTGAAAGGTCAAGGGTATTTGTTTGGGGTTGGGATATGAGACTTAGCGCTTACAGCTGTGCATTCAACGCGTGAGGTTTAACGATGACGGCACGGTGACGCGGATGTAGGGGGTCAAGCCGTAGGGTTCAAAGGATCTTGGACAGGGAGATATTTAAAGTTGTGTTCCAACAACACTACAGTACACGCAAATCGATTTGGGGAAACGTTGCTTCAAGCCTTGCAAGAGTAGTCCTGCATAGGATCAGTCTGGGAACCGGCATTGTTCAAGCCTTTCGGCGGAAGGGGTATTGTAGAAACTAAGCAACAGCTTCCAAAATAGGAGGCCCCCCAGGATACTTGCGGTTTCATGGTACTTGTTTATTAGTTGGATTCAGTTGGTTGTGATTCGCCGAGGCTATCCAGCCTCAGGGCGTTCAGAACCCTCTAAAAACCCCCCCTCCCCCGGCCCCCCCTTTTGCAGACCTGTTCACTCGTAGGCCTACTCCCCCTCTCCCCCCCCTCCCCGAAGCTTGCGAACTCCTTCACTTTTGGCTGATGGACTAAGCCCAGCCAACCCCCTGCATGAATGCTGCAACATGCATGCAACAAACGGTCTGAAGTGAGGCTTGCCTCCGTTACTCCCCGACCCTAAACCCCACGTGTCAACTACATGCCATGACCTGTTGGTGTGCTCCGAGCCCCGCCAGCCGAGGCGGGCGCGCGCTAGGGTTTATAATTAAAACACATTTAGTTCCCCAATTGCCGTTACTTAAGATATCATTGGCTATAACACTAAGTAAAAACTGACTACAGTACATTGGACATCCAAGGCCAAAGACGGACATGTGAGGGTAAAGCCTGACCGTCTGACCTAGACAGATGGCCTTGTTTACGACACGTCCGTACTGAATTCAAACATGACCGTATCCAGCCCACCTTATGCACACAAAAAGTAATCCCAAACCCTGGGTCATTTGCTCGGGTGTAGGTGAGTGGTTAGGATTTGGGATTTACAACTTAGGGCTTGGGATTTAGGATTTCGGGCTTAGGATTTAGAGCTTAGGATTTGGGATTTAGGATAATTTAGCGCTTAGGGTTCAGGATTTCGGGCTTAGTGTTATTGGATCAGATCCTAGACCATCTAGGATTCAGAGTTTAGGACTTGGGGCTTCGGATTTTGGATATACGGCAATCCATGTCACTTGTCAGCTTTTATGACATTAGATCAGTCCTCCCCTTGGGAAAACTACGCTGAGCCCACTCATGACAGCCCTTTCCTAGCTTAGGGCTTAACTCCGCCATTCCTGTGAAGCTTCGTGATTTTGTAATGGATGCCAGCTTTCGACCAGCACGCAAGACATCCTTACGCAGCAAAACGCACGCGCAGACAATGTAAACTAGAAACGGAGAGACTAAGTCTAAGCAGAACGCGGGAACAAAAACAACGTGTTTGTAGTAGCCGTCGAAGTTGACCCGGACAACGGAGATTGGCAGGGGTGGCTGGTGTGAGAAGTGGTAGTTTCCCAAAATTAGGGGTACCTTTTTGGGGGTCCCCATAATAAGGATTATAGTATTTTGGGGTCCATATTGGGGTCCCCCCATTTAAGGAAACTACCACGTGGGCTGCAAGAGCATGGCATCCAGGATCACCATGGCATCTCCGACCAAGCTCCGGGAGTGGTGTTGCCCAATGAAATCATAGACTGCCACGGTGGTTACGTAAGCCTACAGTCGAGACACCTGCGTGACACAACCTTTCTTCAACCTTTTAGGTAAGAAAGACAGGCCACTTCTTGGGCACCATCCGTGGAAAGGTTTTGAAGCGCCTCTCTTCTCTACTCTACCAACACCATAGGCTTTCAGACAAAGCAATTCTATAGTTGTAGCTCACCATCGATACATGAAACCAAAAGCCACAAATATTCTATAAAGTCAGCATCCATTACCCAGGATCTCCACCTGAGGCATCTTGAGTGGGTGCATTTTGCGCGGGGCCGGTGGTGCTGGTGCTACCTGCATGCCAACATGAGAAAACCCTAAACCCTAATAGCATTGAGTTTGGGTGGCCGAGGTGGGTTTACCAGCAACGCGAGCACGCAGCCTGGGGCGCTGGACGCCCGAGCACGCTCCCTGGCCTGACACTCCCAATTCCAGAACCCTAATCCCCAAACCCCAGGTCCTACACCCGAAATCCTAATCCCTAAGCCCTAAACCCTAAACCCTACACCCGAAATCCTAATCCCTAAGCGCTAAACCTAACATAGCCGACGTCTTGGACTTGAGCCCTCTTAAAACTGGAGCTCTGAAGCGAAGAAAAAAAAGGAGGATGTAAGGTTTTAGGACTAGGTAGGGGTTGGGGTTTAGGGTTTAGGGTTTAGGGTTTTAGGGTTTAGGGTTTAGGGGGGGGTTCAGGATGGAGGGTTTTTGTATAGGGCTTAGGGTGGATGGAGGCAAACTTTCACCATGTGAGCTATAGTCTAAACTCCTAGTATCCCCCTTAATAACCCCTATAGTAGTCCCCTATATAATCCCGTATACAACCCCCCCCCTTAAGGAGTTTAGACAATAGCTCATGTAGGTACCCCAAACGTTGCACTGGACCTTCAAGTTGCTTTCATGATACGGGGCTTCGCAACTGACAGGTCCACAGGGGACTCTAATGGATGCGTGGGGTAATGTAAGGGATTTACAACGTGCATACATCCAGGATCTTATGGAGACTATGGGGGAAACCTCCTGCATAAATTTGGGTCTGACTTCTGGGCCCGCTTACAAATACCCTACAGGCGCCAAACCCTCCTAAACATTAAAATCTTCCGTGAGAGCAGGGACGGCCTGGTCTCTCCGACAAACAGGGAATCCCAAAAGGCTTAAGGCGTAGGATGCCGACCAAAAAAACCATGTAATTCCAGTACGTCTATTCTTATCGAACAAATCTTGATCACTACAAAAAAAGTCCTGTATGACCTCATGATACTAACATCCCACCATTCCTGATGGTTTAAGATACCCAGGATGATGCAGGATTTTGAAGGTCCACCGTGAGAACTCCCCCTGTGCAACCTCTGCAAAAATCACAATCCGCTATCTCGGAGTGTACAACGTCAACCCTTCTGCGCACACTGCCTACTATCACCGAAACACTGAAACATAATGCAACCACGCAACCCAAATGAGGCCCTAATACGCCCTAAACTACTCATACCATAGCTGAGCATGATTTAAGCCTCATTTCTTTGTG